GGATCTTTGGGGTGAACCAGCCTTTGCCGTAATGTGTTTTGGGGTTTGAAAGCCACTGGGACATCATGTTTAGAAAATAAACGTCTCAGTTTCAACGTTTCATTAGAGAAGAACCCGTCCAGAAGACCTATACAATTTTTTTCCTTTGATTTTTTACCTGGATTACTGAGATGCATCAGGACATTTAGTCAAATTGTTTATGACTTTAATGTTCACCAAAAACACGTAAAACAAAACATGTACTAAGCTAAATATTATGAGCTTGTTAACTTTTATTACTGGATATTATTGATACTTATTTTAGCTGGTTTGTTGAAGCTTTCAGATTTTTTTTACTCAAATTTGTTTTAAAAAATGGTGAAGCTCCAACACATATTTTACAGCTGATTTGACAAAACAAACAAACAAACAAACAAATACATTAGAATAAATAAATAAATAAATAAATAAATAAATAAATAAATAAATAACTTTAAGGGATGAGTAATAAATAATTGCATGATGTCTAAAAGTGACTTTTCATACATTTATAAATATTTGTCAAAAAAGTGGGATGTTAAAGCAGAAAGCTGACCTATGAGCACACTAAGCATCCACGTTTGAATCACTAAAGGCAGTATAATTTCTGTCATACACTGACTGTGACTGTGTGTGTGTGTGTGTTGCCTGAAAGAGGAAGAGGTTCAATCATAGGACCTTAAAAAGCACCTAACACTGAACACAGACAGGTTTTTTTCTTGCCTCCAGGTGCAGTTGTAAAACATCTGCYTGTGTGAACTGAAGCCAAACTGGGAGGTGATGGAAACCATGTGGATCTCATGGAAAACTTCTCTGACTGTCGTCATCACATTCCTTCAAATCCAAGGTGGGTTTCATCCTCTAAATTCACATCTTTTTTATATTGACCTTAACACATGGATTAATTTATGTGCTAAAAACTGTCCTGTTATGTAATCAGCTTCTTGAAAAACATCTTTAATGCCACGAACATTACTCCTGACTTGCAGCTCTGCTCAGCATCAAAACTACAGCAGTTACCGGCGTGGAGGGTCAGATGTTTGAGTTCAGGTGTCATTATTCAGTTCGCTGGGAAAACAACTCTAAATACGTCCGCCATTTGGATGATGAAGGCTCCAGTGATGATGAGATACTACAGATCAACAGTCGTGACAAGTGGGAAACAAAAGGACGCTTCTCTGCGTTCGACAACACCTCCGGGGCTTTCTTCATCRTCAGGGTGGATAAACTCTGTCCTACAGACAGCGGGACGTACTGGTGTGGAGTTAAACTCACAGACCAGCCTGATGATATCAGCGTGATCCAGCTCAGTGTTTCCCAAGGTAAAGTAACACAAGATCACAACTAACAATTTTCATAAACCTCACAGGTATTTTGTAAGCTTCCACAAAATAAAGGGTTTCTGAAGTGCAAATAATTACTTTTTATGTGTTAAATAGCAGCAGCGTACGTGTTTATGAGTCAGTGTGGAAAATATGTGATGTAAAAATGGTCGGCCACACATCCCAGAAATGGGAACAAGGTAGTCTCACCTATAGCTCAAACATCTGCTTTTCTCCAGTTTCCATTTCCATGAAATTGTTCTACAGAGGGTTGTCCAAATGTGGTTTATTAAAACGTGGCATGTTACATTTCAAGTAATAATGCCTAATTATAACCTGGAACATAAAGAAAACATTTTGAGGAGTCAGTTTAACCGTTTTTTTTCTTTAATAAATGAACTGTTTTAAAATTCATGTATTTAGTTTGTCTCCAGCGAGGCAATTTTCCAGTGGCCAACAGGTG